CTGTAACCCGAAGGGTCCATGTGCCCGAACAGCACATAAGTTGGCCTTAAAGTAGTCACTATATAGCTTCTTTGGGGCCAAAGTATATATATATATATACTATAACTTGGGTGCATTGGCTTAAGGGAAAGGTCTTGGGGCTCAAGATTTGATCCGTGGGTTTGTAGGGCTTTGGGTTCAGGGTTTTCTCCGGAGCTCCGGTTGCCAGAATGAGCCTCCAGAGAAGCTCAGGTAGACGCCTTGAGAGTGAAATTCCGCATCCAGAACGAAGAATCTGGAATTTACGGTTTAGGATGTAGGGTTTAAGGTTTATGGTTTAGGGTTCAGACTCTGGAAGTCTTAATTTCATTCAGATCTTGCGCCCCGCTGACCCTTCGGAGCAGTCTATCTACATTTCAACTCTAGGAGGGACAACAGCTAAATCTTCCTTCATGCGCTCTCTCTGCCGCTGCATCGTGTCTGACGGCTTCCCCTTCGTTTTGTCTAGGGCTTGCCGGTTTCCCCGAAAATGAAGAGGTTTAGGCTTTAGCGTTTCGGGCGCAGATTTAGGGTTTCGGGGATTGGGGTTTATGGTTTAAGGTTTAAGTTAAAGAATAATATTGATTGTGTTATACAGGTGCAGCACATTTGGCATTGTGCCACATCTACTTCCCCAAGGGCTCCAAGGTATTTCTGACGAAGGGTGTTCCACATAAAGGCCTCCGCACCAAGAACTTGGGATCCCAAAACCCTACCGTTTTATGGGTTCTACCCCCTAATTAGAGGGTTCATAACCTATTATTTTTGTAGGGTTTAGGATCCAGGGTTAAGGGGTCATAACCTACTTTTTTTGTAGGGTTTGGGGTCCCAGGAATGCCACTTTTTTTCCATGTAGGTACGAACCCCCTGAAGTGCATCACCCTAAACCCTAAACCCTAAACCCCTAAACCCTAAACCCCTAAACCCTAAATACGTGAAGTAAACCTACAGATCAGAAAGCTTAATGCACACCCCTAGTAGAAACCACTGTCACTGGGGCTCGGACGCACAATCCTTTTTTCGAGAAAAACAGCCTTGCGCGGTGCAATGTGTCACCTGTACGTAGAAGCCTCTCCTCACGCACTCCCCCTCACTACTCCCTCCAAGGGAGGAGTGACAGGAAGTAGTCTACAGGAAAACAGGAATACTTAGTATGTTAACCAAGGGGAAGCTTCAACTGTATCACACCTACCGCCTAAAGGGACAAAAACTGAGCCTAAAGTCATCTCAATTCCGAATTCCGGTCTCATGCCGGAAACCCCCTTTGGGGGAAATTCGTGAAGAGAACTCAGCATCCCTTGCCATTCCTATCACTGATCAGAGCTAACATCCTTAACGACCCCACAACCCTTCAGGTAAGCAGGCCTTAAAAGCCCAGTAATGATTCACTGGTGGTACTTTGTCAGCTCCGATCACCCAGGCCCTCGGCCGATTCTTCTCGCCTCACTAGCGTCCACACTTATTTAAACACCGCCTCGCAGCTGTCACAAGGTATGACAAAGAGGCTCAACTTGAATCCGAGGCCTGACTGGCCCCCTCTAAACGGGTCAAGTAGTCCCCGACTAACCAATGGAACCCATCTTGAACCTCCTGGTCATACCCTTCCACATCAATGGTGTAACCAGCTCTCCAGAGACAAAACAAAATCCTGTCCCTATGTCGAATACCCGGCTCTAGAGGCAACCATACAGCCACCAACTCACTCGTCTGGAGTCCCCGGTCAACCTTGACGTGCCTTCTTTTACAGCATCGAGTGGCAACAATTCTTCCTACTTCCCAGATCCCTAGGGCTACAAACACGAAAACCAAACATCGCAACGTAGAACCATCACACCTCGCATCCGACTCCTCAACCCTACCATGGACAATACCAAGGCCCCGAGGCTCACGACAGACCAATCCTAACGAGGACTCAGGTTCTACGGGTTCCGTGCTTACTTCCGTTCGTTCAGCTCCCGCACTGTGGATCAAAACCCACCAAATTATTACAACCCACAAACTCGGACTGATCCTACTCGGAAGCTTCCAACCACAACCCCTTTGGTTCCTAGGGGGATCAGTAGAGGAGCCTGGCCTTCCATCCGAGGTCTGACTGAAGTCTCCAACCTCAAGCCTCGACTGAAAGTCCCTCCAATCCCCAGTGGCCAAGCCTAGCACAATGCTCTCAACCGACTCCCGATCCCAGCCTACTAACGGAACGGTCAGAACATCATCAACATACCGAACCACTAAACCTTCAGCTTGGGCTTCATAAGTCGTCATGGGTTCTTCTTCAAACGTCCTTGCATCCGAGGGGCCCTGGACTTCTATGGCACCTTCGGATCCCCGGCCACCTTCTGACAGGCTAGAGTCATCAGAAACAATCGAAGGCTCAGTCGTCGAGCGACTCTCTTCAGAGGAAGAAGTATCTTCTCCTAACAACCCCTCAGCGACAAACCCATACCGCACTAACCCTACAGGAGCTACTGGCCGCACCGGCCTCTCGTCTATCGCCTCATCTTCTTCTTCCTCTGAATTCCCAAAGGGAAACCCCCGGTCGCCATCTTGCAAGTAGGCTTCTGCAGCCTCATAGCTTTGCTGCCCATCTACAATGTACTGCCTGCCAGTAGCTCTTAGCCAACTCAGCATAGCGAACACAGCATGCTGCCGAAAACCTCGAGCTGTCTGCCGAATCCCTTGAAGCTCACAAACCCTATCTCCTAGAAAAGCCAGAAACTCGTACCCAGCTATGGAAAAAACTCGCCAAAGATAGTGAGCATAGACCCCGGGAGCCCACAAAACATAGGGAAAGCCTCGGTCTCCCTCCTGAGCTACTTCCAACCCTAGGGGACCCGATTCAGCTTCACGCAGCGGATATCCAGAACGAAGGTACTCCTCACCAGCCTCAACCCACTGGGGCCCTTGAAATATCACAGCAAAAGGTCCCTGCCGAAGCCAATCTACAACGGAAGCTACGACCCCAAACCGCACTGCGTTAGAAGTCTGCCTCAGCGCAAACCAACCGGCACTTCGAATCCCCAGCATCAAGAGAACATGTTCCCCCACAGTGGAAAGCAATTGAACCAGAAAATGAACCTTCACCCATGTGCCTACCAAAGGCCAACCATCCAAAAACCCTTCTACCGGGAAATAGTCCTCATAGCAAACCCCTAAAGCTACCTGCTCCAACGGCGCTGCTTGTACTTCGTGACTAGACGAACTACCTCCCTCTTGGACTCTAGGGGTGGAAACTGAACCTACCGATCCTACGCCTAAACAACCCCCGAACTGAGCCTCTGAATCCGATGGGCCTTGTGCCTCTGCTGACTGGTCTAAACTCCCCCTGAACTGAGCATCTGAATCCGAGGGGCCTTGTGCCTGAACTGACTGATCCAAGCTCCCCCTGAACTGAGCATCTGAATCCGATGGGCCTTGCGCCTGAACTGACTGGTCCAAACTCCC